AGAATCAACACCCAAAACATATAAAAGTCTCAACTCTCCATTACTCCCTTAGGAGTTCTTCCTGACTCCCCAGTTATATTCAGCTCACTCCCCATAATGCATGTATTTCACACAGTGCCTATCACAGACATACTCTTAAATCTAATAAATGCCTTTTCCCAATCATGATTCATAGAACTGTTCCTAGCTTTCCAACACAAAGAGCTTATTGTTGAAAGAAATACATGAGAGGTGGGTGGACCTGTAGATCTTTTTTCATTGTTGCTTTACGTACTTGGATAATGACAAATGAAATACAGTCAGTAGTGAAAATCAAGGAGAAAAGCTGAATATTCTATACTTACATCCAACTTGATTAGCTTTTCAATCACAAGTTCCAGAATGTCGTGCCTCAAGGTTGGAAAATACACACTAATCCTTAATAAGTTATGGATATAGCATTCCTAGAACGTCAGACGGAGACAAATATTTTCAGAGACCGCTTCATAATTACATAAGCACATCGGCAATTAGTCTTTAATTTCATTTATCTAAATCACTTGGCTGCTAGCCAAAAACTCCAGGGTTTGTGTCCACCAGCTACTGCTTAGGAGAAAGATGAGGTAGACTGCTTCCATAAAAATGTCAGCCTTAAAAATGTACAAATGTGCTTAACACAATGGATATATGTGTGGATTGTGATAAGAGCTCTATGAGCCACCAATAAACTGATGGAAAAAAAAAAGAAAAAGATTTCAGCCTTGAAATCCCCGTGGTTCAATGCTGCTCTATTGTACAGGGTCGCTGTGCGTCAGAATTAACAAAGGATTTGACTGGTTGTTTTTTCAATCTACCAATTCAGAAACAACATCTATAAAGTGGGAGTTTACATAAACATCTTAAAATATAAATCTATGTTCAATATAACTACACTATCATTACCACCAACAGTAGAATCTGTAACTTGTATGTAGCGATTTTTTAATAGCTTTACTGAAATACTTTTTAATTGCTTTATTGAGATATAATTCACATACCATATACTTCATTTATTTCGAGTATACAATTCAATGGTTTTCAATATCTTTAAGGTTGTACAACACCACTATAATCCATTTCAGAGCATTTCCAGCATCCCCTCAACATGTCCCAATTCAACGAATAGGTCATTCTCCACTAACCACCAGACCCCACCCCCAACCAACCTCCTTTCTCTGTCTTTGGATTTACCTAGTCTGGACATTTCACATACATGGAACCACGTAGTATACAGTCTTTTGTGACTAGTTAGCCACACAAACACTTGAACATATATGTTTTATAATGACAAAAAAGGGGAGAAATAACGGAACTATAATATTCCATTATATGAATATACTACAATGCTTATTCATTTATAAGCTGATTTATATTTGGGTTATTTTTTGTCATTATAAAACATTTGTGTTCCAGTGTTTGTGTAGACTTGTTTTCAATGCCACAGTAGTGGAAGCACTTCATCATGTGGTAACGCGATGGAGTTTTTGAGAGATGCCATAATCTTCTCTCAAGCAGATACACCAATTTATATTCTTACTAGTCATCTAAGAGTGCTCTTATTTCTGTACATCCTTTTCATCGCCTGTTATTATCTTTATGGTTGCCATCTTACTGGGTTAAAAGTGGTGTGTCATTGTGGTTTTGATTCACATTTCCCTATGACCAATGGCAAGACTTCATCTTACATGCTGTGAACATGTTGTCAAGAGAGACCAACCCTTGGAGAAGGACAGCATGCATAGTACAGAGGAAGACCCTCAACCAGATGGGCTGACAAGGTGGCTGCAACCCTGGTGCAGGAACTGGCAGTGTTTCACTCTATTGTACCATGGCCACAGTTTTAAAACTCACTGAACAGTACCTGTGGTGGTTACATAATCTGGTGTCAATTTGAGGGCGAAAGGGTGGAGTCTAGTCTGTCAATCGGGTAGTAGCTTGACCTCATTTGGGAGGCGCTAAGGAGATAAATAGCTCGCAGGAGGCGGGACACACGCTAACCCCCTGTGAGACATCTATGTGGAGAAGACGCATGGATAGAGGCTGATGGAGTCAGATCTCTGGAGCTAGAGAAGCCATGTGGAGAGCCCTGTCAGCGCTGAGATGCTTACAATGCCACTGGATCCACAAGACTTCCCACCACTGGCCTGTGATCTTCCTGCATTCGGTGTCATTGCATGTTTCTTGAGTCTGAAGAGGACTTTATAGATTGTTATCGGACATATGGGTTAATATTGGACTTACAGACTTGATTGGGACTGGGCTGGGATGTTTTCTTAATATCCAACTGCTCTTGTATATAAAGTTCTTTCTTACACACATATGAGTGTCTATGGATTTGTTTCTCTAGTCTACCCAGACTAACAGTACCTAACAATGAAGAATAATGATGTTCGCATCTTTTCACGTGTTTATTTCCATTTCTGAATCTTTGGAAAAATGATTATTTCAGGTCTTTTGCTCATTTTAAAATTGAGTTATTTACCCCTTTCTTGAATTAAAGAGTTCTTTACATATACTACGGGAGAAAGCCATGTCGGCTTTCCACTCCCTTCAAGAATTACAGCCTTGGCAACCCACAGGGGCAGTTCTACCCTGCTTGTCAGCGTTGCTATGAATTGCAGTCAACCCAACGGCAATGAGTTTGGTCTCATAGATATTACACTCTAACTAACATTAGATATGTGATTTGTAAGTATTTCATTCCATGGGTCACTCTCTTAATAGCATTTGAAGCATGTTTTGATATTTAAGAAATTCAAAGTTATCTACTGCGTCTTTGCTCGTATGCTTGAGGGATCATATGTAAGTAACTGTTAAGTCGTCCAAAGTCACAAAGATTTAATGCTACTCTTTACACTCAGGTCTTAGATTAATTTTAACTTTTAGGTATGTTGTGAGGCATGGATACGGCTTTGTCTTTTGGTGTGTGGATGGCTATCCATGTGTTCCAGTATTATTAGTTGAAAACTAATTCTTTATCATTGCAAGGAGTCCTGGTGGTGTAGCGGGGGTTATTAATTGAGCTGTTCACTGCAAGCTCAGCAGTTCAAAACCACCAGCGGCTCCCGTAAAGAATTAAAGTCTGGGAAACCCTTAATAGGGGGCAGTTCTGCTCTGTTCTGTAGGGTCGTTATGAGCCAAAACCAACTCGATGGTGCAAAAAAATAATCCATTAAATTATCCTGTACAATTATTTTATATTCATCTTATATTCTGCAACCTTGCTGAACTCATTAGTTCTAGGTTTTTTAACCATTATGTGTGATGTGAGCTGCAAATTTTTCCTTGATATCCTTTATGTGGTAATTAGATGATTTTATGTCTAGTACACACTTCCTGCCAATCAAGTAGTAGCCTGATGACACCTCCTTGGGGGTGTGGTCTCTCCCATCCTTGGGGGTGAGGGACTCTGAGAACTACCCCTCACTCTACCACGTTGACTTGCTCCTCACTGGACTTCACTGGGCTCTGTGTCTGTCTCCAGGGGTGGCCCCACATGGGCTGACTCTAAGAGCTGTTGGCATCCACGGGACCCTGCACCCACTGGCCTGTGATAATCTGCTTCTTGCTCACCACTCTGAGGCAGTGATTTCAAAAAGGGACTTCTGGACTAACATCTGATTTATGGACTTGAGTTGGGCTGGGATGCCTTCTTGATATACAATTACTGCTTGAGATAAAGTTCTTTCTTGTACATTGATGATCGTACAGGACTCGTTGCTTTAGAGAACCCAGCCTGATACACCTTATCAGGTTGAGAAAGTCCCTTTGGGGTGTCTCAATCATGAAAGGGGGTTTGGAATTTGTCAAATGCCTTTTCTGTATCTACTGAAATACTGATGTGGTTCATTCAATATTAATTTTCCGTGTTAAATCAATCTTGCATTCCAGGGATAAATCCTAATTGGTCATGGTATATAATGCTTTTAAAATGTTAGATTCTGCTGCCTACTATCTCATTGAATTTTTAAATTTGCATTTATACAAGTCTCAAACTAAAACAAACAGACCCACTGCTAACAAGTCAACCCCAGCTCGAAGCTGTGAATCTTTACAGAAGCAAAAGCCTTATCTTTGAGTCTCTGGCCTTGTGGTAAGCAGTCTTAAGCTTACCAACAGTGTCACCAAGGCTCCTTATATGAGGATAATGGCTTGTAATATTCCACTTTGAGCAGACAATCACAACAATAGCAAACATTATAAATGCTTTATATGTATAATTTATTTAAGAAAGAATCTAAGCCTAAAAGGAAACCACTAAAATTGTATAAAAGAAATGAACTAATTACATGAGAATTTGGGCAGAATTCATGCTCAAGTAGGAATGATTGTTAGTATATAAGAACTACTATCTTTGGATTGTTATAAGAGCCCCCAATAAAATGATTTTTTTTTTAAAAAGCACAAAGTACCAGGAATGGAACCAGAGTTAAATTCATACTCTTGGTCTTAAAGGCTTTACAGGCAAAACAATTCTTAAGAAAATGATATAGCATCACCTAAAACTAAATTACAAAATACAAGTTTTCCAATGAAATATTTCTTACCAATGTTCTCTCTGATTTTCGAACAAATGGAAATTTTTCCATCAGTATTGGCATAAGAAACCACGGTGTCCTGGGGAAATCAAACAGACGGTGTGAACTGGGCTTTCCAGGAAGACAGTGTTTCCAATCAGGAACAACTATGGAGACACAGGCAGCAAAGGGCAAGCCTCACCTCACAAGCGAAGGGTTCTTGGCTTCCGTTTGAACCCTAACCATCTGACTTTACATACTTTATTTTAAAAAGGGGATAAGTCATTAATTTTGATGTTTTTAAGTTACAACTAATGACATTTAAAACCTTGATACCCTTTCAAAAGCAACCCAGACACCTGCAAAAGCTATTCTCAGACACCTAATTTTAGTCTTACGACATGACAAACACACAAAGGAGATTCTCACTAAATTTTTGGACATTATACCTGTTGAATGTAAAAGCAAATTCTAACCACTACAAACAGTTTTTGAGGAAATTTGCATAGGTTTATAAAAGAAAGTTACAGGCAATGTTATAAATATGATTTACACACACACCCCCACCCCCACCTACAGTGCCCCAAGCCATGCAATTCTAGTTCTGATGAGATTAACATTTTCTCATGAATCAGAACAGGAGCCGGCAAACTTTTGAGATGGAAAAGCGAATCCTGTCTCTCACAATTTAAAAATTGAGAGCCATAAACAAACAAAAAACAAACAAATGATTTTATTTGGGGCTCATACATCTCGCCATAAATATATTTTTACAAATGAAATCACTATTATCTGAGTAATACTCTTTAAATCAAACTATGATTGCTTTATGTTCATTTTCAATTTCACTTCATAGCCACATGTACACACTGAATGAGTTGCACACGGCTCTTGACCCACAGTTTGCCGACCCCTGGACTAGAACATTCCTTTGAGAATAGCAGCATAATTCCAAATAAATAATGAAAGAAAGAATACTCACGATGGGACGTATCTTGCTATTATTTGCAAGGCTCTATGACATGTGTCGAAATTTTCAAGAAGATCTATTAGGAGAAAAGTTGAGTGAGTAAGTATGAAACCAAGCTTCAATAAAATGAAAGATATGCACTCGAAATGAAAAATATACATGGGCGACAATGGAATGATTTACTAGAGAAACGATAATTTCACAATTTTTTGTAACACAACTGTCATTGAAGACTAAGTGCGCTAATTCTAGCAGAAATGCATTGAGGGCTATCGGTTGCCTATTAATCGGTTGCCTAATGCATTGAGGGCTATCAATATGGCAAAGGACCATATCACAGGCGGCCTTGCCAGTGGGCTTTCATCATTTAGTTAACATTCGGCACGACCCAGGAGGCGCTCTCTACTCCATTCTCTTTAAACTTACTATCGTCTTCGTCATCAGAGTCTGAAACATCCACGTCACCCTCCTTAATGATTACTCGGGCTTTGAGAGAAAAAGAAAATATATTATTCTTCTGTCACCTGACAAAAAAAAAGTGAACCCCAAATCAAACCACACCCCCTGCCATCCAGTCCATAGTGACCCCTCTGAGGCTATCAATCTTGAATGGTAGACAGTCTCCTCTTTCTCCCAAGGAGCAGTTGAGGGGTCAACCGTGCACTGCTTACCAGACAGCACCGGGGCTCCTATATAAAACAGTTAACTTGCCGCCCCAAAGTCCAAACTGTCTACAATGAGCACATACTAAACATACAATCTGAGCAAAGTAAAGCCACTTTACAGTTTTAAATAGTTAACCATTTTTCAATGTAAGGGTTCTAAGACTGTCAGAAACTCACTACACCTAACAACCACCCACAGAACGCAGAGCCACAAATAAACCTGGACATTTCCTGAGGTCCACTGCTGGAAGGTGCTGTGTATGAGAAAGAGCTGCCAATATGTACTCTGCATTCCTCTGCGGTGGGACAGTTACAAATATAATGGGGTGGTCATATTTTAATAGAAAGAGTGAAAAAAGGAAAGCAAAGAATAATCACTCACGAGGTACAAAATGAGACGCAATCATGCTGAGACATGGTCGGAGAAAGACAGTCTGTGCTGACACAAGATTACCAAGAAACGCTAAGTATTCTTCCACCACCTTCTGACTTCTCTTCAACCACTGCAGTCTCTACGGTGGAGAAGGAAAGGTACAGAGACTTTCTGTTTACTGACGCGCAACACATGCTAGTTCCCAAGTACTACTCTGAAATAAACGGCAGACTTACCAGTAGGATACTGACAAGCTGCTCAAAGTCTTTTGTCAGGTGCATAATGGAAGACCGAAATTCCAGCAGCCAGTTAATGAGTTGGTCATCCTTAAATTGAACAAAGAACATGTTCAGAATCAAAACTTCTCTTAAAGACCCAAGAGAGAGACATACCTTATATCCATCACCTTATCAATATTAGAAAATCTGTAACTCTGATACACAGGGGAAGGAATCAAATGCACCATGTCAGGCGGGACCACCCATTCGCCTTAAAGAAGTGATTGTACCTCTATAGTGACATGCCTTCCTTTCTGTGGTCAAACCATCATGGGAGATTTGTTCCGTGCTCTGGGCCCCGAAGAGTTACCTCTGCCCTACTTTCCTACTCCAAGAGATTTGCTATTTTTGTCCAGGTTATCTGCCATCTCCTGGTAAGTTACAGACAACTTGATGGTTTGTTACTTTTTGGTTAGATTGGTCGATTTTACACACCTTGCCAGAACCGTCTGTTTACTATGCAAATTGAGTGACTTGTAGTACACTGAGGGGATTGGTCAGTTCGTGACTCTACCAGGAGGGGTCCTAGAATTACCAATGACTGAACCTCCTACAAGAATTATAACACGGAGAACGGTGAGAGGCCTGGAAATGGCCTGTATTGGGGTTAAGCTGCTGTTAGGGTAACAGCTGAGAACCAAACAAACTGCCACGCTGGCTACCAAGCGGGCCGCCGGGCAGTGGAGAGGCCAAGAGGGGTGGTGGTGGAGTGCTCAGCCTAGAGGAGTTGCCCTGAGCCGAGAAAGGGAGGGATGCTCTTCAATGTGGAGCGGTCATGCAGACCTTGCCTGCATGTTCTTTGATCCTGATCTCCAGTTATAGTCTGTTACCAAAACCAAACTCGCTGCCAAGGAGTAGATTCCTATAGGACAGGGTAGAACTGCCCCTGTCGGTTCCACAGTGTGATTCTTGACAAAAGCAGAAAGCCTTGTCCTTCTCCCTTGGAGTGGCTGGTGGTTTTGAACTGCCAACCTTGTGGTTAGAAGCCCAATGTGTAACCACTACGCCACCAGGGGTCTTTTATAACCCATACAACTTCCTTAATAAACTATGAGTATGAGTGTGGTGCGGCTACTGTAACAAATTAACAAGCCCACCACAGAAAGAGGGGGGGGGGCATGGCTGGTAAAGTTGGAGAGTGGAGCTTTATGTTTGGTCACTGCTTCACACGAACGAACAACCTGCTGATCCTGACTCTCATCTCTTAGGACTCTAGGTAAGGTCAGAAGCTTGTACCTCATTTTTTTTTTTTGGTACCTCAAATTTTACACCCAAGACTTTTTAAAACTGGGGAATTAAAAACAAACCATTTAAACACAACAAAGCACCAACAGCTATGTGTATTGTCTCCATATTTAAGTTCACCTGCATGTCTGCTAGTAATATTGTCTGGCTGATAATCAGAAGTCACTCTAACGAGAATCCCTGGTGGCGCAACAGTTAAGCGCTCCACTATGAAGGAAAAGGTTGGTGAACGGAGCCGGCCCAGTGGCTCCACAGGAGGGAGGCCTGGCGTCTGCTCTCACAAAGACCACAGTGAGACGTAGTTGTCGGACTGAAAGGGCAGAGTGGAGCTGCCCCACAGGATTTCCTAGGTTGAAATCTTTACAGAAGCAAATTGCCAGGTCTTTTCTCCCTAGGGCTTGACCTAGCAACCTTTTCTTCAGTAGCTTAACAATTTCACCACCAGGGTTCCTTCCTTCAAGATTCAACCTAGACCTTCCTTCAGGGCAGTTTTGTTATATGGGTTGAAATTTGAGTTGAAAATGTTAGGTGCCATCAAGTTGGTTTTCAACTCACGGCGACCCTCTGTACAACATGCACCACTGGCCAGTCCTGCCCAGCCTCACAAGTGTTTCATTTCAGCCCATTTGTGGAAGGGCTTCCTCTTTTTCACTACCCTTCTACTTTTCCAAGGATGATGTTCTTTGCCACTGGTCTCTCCTGATAACGTGTCCAAAGCATGTGAGATGAAGTCTCACATGAGAGGGCTGAAACAATTTGTTTGGAAATAGAACAAAAAGATAATGAAATTTCCCACAAATTTTTTGAAGCCTCTTCACATAACTTTTCAAAACCCACTATGTAGGTGTTCTTTGAAAGACAAAATCAGATATTTACTCAAATCAAAAAGCCTATGTTGGTTGTTAGAAATACAGGCAATCTTTTACATTCTGCAAATTTCTAATAGATATAAATTTCAGTCACCATGGCATAGTAACTGTAACTGTACAAAAAACAAACTTCACTGCTAGTTCTTCAATCCACAATTCACTAATTAAGTAACAGCTGTGCATTCTAAGTGACAAATGAGATCACTTCTTTCAAAGTCCATCTGTGACTGGTCACATTATTCACTTCATACACAGGCAATAAAATGTATTCAAGTTCTGGTATTTTCTTGTCTCCTAATGATAAATCCATGGCACTATAAAAATGGATGATCAAAAGAGGAAACTGGCCAACAAATGAAAGTGACAAAATGAGACGTAGTAAGGCTGGAAGTAAAATATGAACCAACGTATCCAGGGGTAAAGAAGACACAGCTGGTTGAGCAATGCTACCACTGCAGTGCCATTCAAAACTCTGGCTCTGCAGCCACAGCAACTTACCAAGCTCTGTATAAAGTACAGCAGAACGACCACTCTTTCCAAATATAGGTGGTGAAGGAAGCAAGGGAAACCAAAGCCTACCACGTTGTTAATGACATGTATGTTCAACCTGACGATGCTGAAAAAGTTTGAAACAGGAGTAATTTTTTGTTGTGTTTTTCTGCTTTGTCTTAGCCTTGGAGACTTGAGACTTGTATGTCAGCATAGGAGAAGAGGTCTTAACTTCAGCACTGCTGACATTTTGAACCAGAAAATTCTTTATTGTAAAGAGTTGTAGGATCCTGCACATTGTAGGATGTTTAACAGCATCATGGTCATCTACCCACTACATGTCAGCAGCACCCCATCCTACACCCCCACGGGGACAAACCTCCAGCCATTGCCAAACACCCCCTACAGGTTAAAACTGCCTCTGTCGGAATCACAAGACCAGATCAACGGAATCATGATGTTCTCGACAGGATGAAACAGACCAAAAGTGCACAAAGATGTCTGTACAAAGTGGCAGCCACATTGCTTAAGAACAAACATGAATGAATTACCTTTATATCTGGATCTGACAGCTGGTTCTTCAGCAGCTCAAAGTCCTTTGTTTCACCCTTGACAAAGAGGAGAGAAAAAATGAGGTTGGCATCAAAAGCAAGACTCCTAACAACACCTTCCTTAACATCTTTGCAATAATTGCAATCAGTTCACATGTGTAGATACAGATGGATGGCTGACTATAAATAGAAAGCCATTTCTATTTCCCCCTCAACTGTGGAGATCTAATAGTACCACTTATAAATTAATGTTAACAAAAACTAAAATCAACAAAAATCTTTCTTAGCAAAGCTGGTTTATTGTTCCAAATTGCATAGCTAATTCCTTAGGGAGACAGATGCTCTGATCTATAGGCTTAAAAAAAAAAAATCAAGAAAATAGCTTTTAAAAAAAAGAAATAAATACTGTAGGTATTATATAGCTATGGTAGTCAAAATAGCCTGGCACTGACTGGTATAAGAGCTATGTAGGCCAATGGAACAGAATAGAGAACTGAAAAGTAAATCCATCCACCTACAGATACCTAATTTTGAAAATAGTTTTACTGGCATAATTCACATATCCCACAATTTAATTTAATTTATTCAGAAGAGTTGTACACTCATCTTCACAATCAATTTCAGAACATTTTCTTCTTTCTTGTACTAATTGTTATTAACTCCCAATGTCCCTACAACCTCCCCTGCCATATCCCCATCCAGTTACTGTCTATAAATTTACCTGTCCTGGATGTAACAATAAACTGGAACAATAAACCAGCTTTGCTAAGAAAGATTTTTGTTGATTTTAGTTTTTGTTTACATTAATTTATAAGTGGTACTATTAGATCTCCAGATCTAACATACAGAAAAACATACAAAAACCCCAACCCCTTCAAAAAAAAGAAAAACCCACCACCACCACCAAAGTAAAACTGAAAAGTGTCAATCAAGAAGAAAACATCAAATATTAAAAACTGGAACAAAATTTAAGTGGGTCGAAAGGGAGATCAAACCATAGGTAAGGCATCAACTCTTAACCTAATCGCATCGGCAATAACCCACTCTCCAGTGCACTCTGCAATACTGCAAAGACATTTACATCCCTTAGCTGTGGACAGAGGGGATTCACAGAGGCCATGTGTGGACCCTGCAAAAGAATTTTGAGTTTCCACTGTCATCGACAGCCTTCTGCAAACCAAGTGTTCCCAATTTAAGAGCTGATACCATTCCTTCCACTGGATTTGGATTTTATTATTTACAATCCTCAGATCACACTAGCTGGTTGCTTCTCTCTGGTCTTAGTTGACTAGACAACTTATTCTTCCTACTACATTTTACTTTACTTTGCAGGAAAACAATTGACTAAGCAGTTTCAGAACTGCTAGTATTCATTAAGGGGGATATAAGGTCAGAAGCAAATTTTTTATTTCCTCCCAAATTCCAGGTATCACAAAAATTCACTCTACATGCAACATGGGCTAGTTTTCAACATACGGAGAGCCCAAGCAAGAAGGGTGAGTAGTGAAGACTCAGGGGTCACCTCTGAAGCCGTGATCCAGGAACCATAGAACTATTCAGCCTGACATTAACCCTGGCCCGAAGTTCATTGCCTTTGTCAAGAGGTGTCGAAGGGATCAGGTACATATAAGGCATCATCAGAACAAAAAATCTTACCATAGTGAATGATGGGGGGGTGCGGAGTGGAGACCCAAAGCCCATCTGTAGGCTACTGGAGATCCCCTTGCAGAGGGGTCTCGGGGAGGAGACAAGCCAGTCAGGGTGCGATGTAGCAACGATTAAAAATACAACTTTCCTCTAGTTCCTAAATGCTTCCTCCCTGCCCCCACTATCATGATCCGAATTCTAACTTGCAAGTCTGGCTAGACCAGAGGATGTACACTGGTACAGATAGGAACTGGAAATCCAGGGAATCCAGGGCGGATGATCCCTACAGGACCAGTGGTGTGAGTGGCGATACTGGGAGGGTAGAGGGAGAATGGGTTGGAAAGAGGGAACTGATTACAAGGAACTATATGTAACCTCCTCCCTGGGGGACGGACAACAGAAAAGTGGGTGAAGGGAGACGTCAGACAGGGCAAGACATGGCAAAATAATAATTCATAAATTATCAAGGGCTCATGAGGGAGGGGGGAGCGGGGAGGGAGGGGAAAAACGAGGACCTAATGCCAGGGGCTTAAGTGGAGAGGAAATGTTTTGAGAATGATGAGGGCAATGAATGTACAAATGTGCTTTACACAATTGATGTATGTATGGATTGTGATAAGAGTTGTATGATCCCCTAATAAAATGATTAGAAAAAACACACAAAAACTTTGGCACATACACACATGGAGGACTGCGCTTCCTTAAAGAATGACGGTGCAACCTCACAACATGATTGGATTTATGCCAAGTGAAGGTAAACAGGACAAATATTTATGAGATCACGGTTATTAAGATTTATTTTTTCTTTTAAAGGTTTTCATATAAAAAGGAGCAGCCTTTGATGGTTACCAGAGTGGGAGGGGAAAGGAGAGTGCAAACAGGTGTTAACTTGGGTGAAGGTCAAAATAGGCACTACAAAACAAGAGAGAGAAGGGAAAAAGGACAAGTGGGGTGCGTGCAGGACAAGCCATTGGGTGATAAATTGTTTTAATTTGTTGAGTGCAAAAACCATCTGATATGCAACCCCCTACCTAATTCACAATAAAATATTTGGGGGGAAAAATACTGGGTAAGAAAAACATTTGAAGAGAAAAAAACATCAAGGACTTGTAACTACTCTAAGGTGTTTAGTTGCGGTAAATAACTAAAGCTAAGGTTATTTTCTGAACAGATTTCAAACCTTTCTATTCAACTCCCTGCTGAGAATCTTCATTCCCAGCCAGCTCAGCTGAATCAGAATCTACATTTTAACAGAATCCCCAGGTGAATTGTACGGTTCCCATGGAGCCCTGGTGGTATTATGCACAGCCGGCAGGGCAAACCCCTCTGCTCCAAGGGAGACACAGGAGACTTTCTGCTTCCAATAAGATTTACAATTGGTCAATGTAGCAATTCTCCAGTCTTATTGTGGCAGTTACATAATCCGGTGTCAATTTGAGGATTAAGAGTGTAGGGGTGGAGTCTAGCCTGTCAATCATTATATAGCCAATGACGGCTCGGTGTGGGTGTGGCCTTTTCCTGAGGATTCTGGGAATTCCTGTACAGTGAACCCTCGCCACTTCGCGCCTTGACTTCCGCGGCTTCACTCTATCGCGGTTTTTGCGTAACAGCGCATGCTCTGTCATTACTGCCACTGATTGGCTCATACTGTACACGCTTGATGCCATAAATAATATAATAAATAATAAATGATAATTGTAACGTCCAAAATGTTTTACTGTATTTTCCATTTTTCGCTTAATAAATTGGGTAATACGAGTGTAATGGTGACTAAAGGGTGTTTTTTCATGTCCTCTATGCTCTAACTACGAAAATATTTGATTTACAAATAAGGAATTCTACTTCGCGGAATTTCATTTATCACGGTAGGGTCTAGAACCGATTAACCGTGATAAACGAGGGTTCACTGTATTTCCTCCTTGGAGACAGAAATCACTCTCTCTCTGCTCACACTCTGGGAGACAGCAGCTGACAAGACACACAGAACTACGCTAGTGCCCTGAGCTGGAGAAACCATATGGAGACCCCTGCCAGTGCTGAGATGCTTACAATGCCACTGGATCCACAATATTTCCCACCCACTGGCCAGTGATCTTCCTGCATTTGGTGTCATTGCATGTGCTTGGTGAATCTGAAGAGGACTTTATAGATTGGTATTGGACATATGGCCTAATATCGGACTTAGGACTTGATCTGGACTAGACTGGGATGTTTTCTCAATATTCAACTGCTCCTGTATATAAAGCTCTTTCTTATACATATGAGCGTCTATGAATTTGTTTCTCTAGTCTACCCAGACTAACACACTATTAGGGTTGCTATGACTTGGAATCAACTAGTGACAATGGGTTTAATGACAATGGGGACTGGAAAGGAAAATTCTCACCTGGGGATCAATCAAACTGGACCGAACCAGTTAGTTTAAAGCCCTGGTGTGGACCAACAACAACAACAAAAATCAATCCTCATATGTTCTTTCTTACCTTTTTATACTTCAGCAAGACTTCTGTCACTGTTCCACCAAATCGAACAGTTTTTCTTGGGGGAGAATTGAAGAAATCGTTCTCTAATGCAAGCATCTCTGAAATCCTGTATAACCACGATTATCATGTGATTAAATGCATGACAGAAAATAACCTAGCCATCAACATCGCTCAACTGGATGACTGCAAAAAAGGTAAATGATCTCCTTGCTTCTGTTCTTGCCCCCAATAATTCACTCTACTCAGCAGCCAAAGTGGTCTTTTCAACAATCAAAACAGATGGTGCCATCGCTAATGTCTTACAGGCGCACTTTGAGTAAAAACTCAACCTTCCTCCTGTGGTCTTCCACATCCTACCGTAATCTGATCCGTGCCTACCTCTCGACCTTGTTATTTCTATTCTTCAAACTTTGCCAAATTGGTTCCCACTTAACTCCTGTGTCACAATTCCGTACAGAAGGGCAATAACTTTGCATCTCTATCAGAGACTTTAAAAAAATCATTTTATTGGGAGCTCATACAACTTTGATCACAATGCATTGTGTCAAGCACATTTGTAGCCAACATCATTTTCAAAACATTTTCTTTCTGCTTGAGCCCTTGTTATCAGCTTCTCATTTCCCCCTTCCTCCCTCATGAACTCTTGACAGTTTATAAATTTTATTATTTTTTCATGTCTTACACTGATTGATGTCTCCCTTCACCCACCTTTCAGTTGTCCATCCCCCTCAGCACTCGTCTTCCAAATCTATATACCTAGCTGTATTCTTGTCTTCATCAAAGATGCAGCTCCAATGTGAGAGGTCTTTCCCACCAGAAATCCAAAGTACTCACCCTCTCCCTCCTCCATCCATTACAGTTTTATTTCCTCATCTATTACCATCTGGCTCACAGATTTAGAGGATGTTTACTAACTTTCCACCCTAGATTGTAGGCTAATTAGGGGCAGGGACCCGTTTCTTTTAGTTGACTACTGTCCCCAGTGGCTTATGTACTAAGTAGGTGCTCAGTAAGTACCATAAATACTATTATTCAAGCTTTTTCCTTAACCAGAGCAGATTAAGTGACAAAACATAGCATCCTACTAAATTAAACCCCAAAGTGTTTTAATGAGGTTGGGAGCCATTAAAGGAGCCCTGATGGTGCCTCAGATGCTAATCAGAAGGGGGAGGTTCAAACCCACCCAGGGAAAAAACGAAAATCCTTGGGGGCCGTGATACCCTCCCTGGTCCTATACGGAGCTACGAGTCAAAGTTGACTGAATGTCGGTGATTTGGTTTTGTTGGTTGTGCGCTTTAAAAGTTAAGAGCTGCAAAAAGACTTAAACAAATGTGTCACGCCAATCTCAAACAAAACCAACCGATTATTTAAAAGATGTTAACCTGCCAGTACTGACAGCATTTATCTGACAACCTACAATGCTCACGGAATTTCTTCCCAACCTGAACTAGGAAACAGGGAGGGAGGAGGAAAGTGAGGTGAAGCCTCAAGTTATCTCAGCCTCGGATGCTGCTGAGCAGCCCAGAGCGGAGAAAAGAGGGCCCTGGAGCGGAAAATCAGCTTTTCGTCTTTTGTCAGCGCTCACTCTCGAGACCCTGAGATGGTTCCCTAGCCTCTGCCCCCACCCGCCCCACCCCGTCGGCTGAACTCAGACCTTTCGTAGCCGCTTCCCCGACCCCAGGCCTGGGCTTTGCTCACACACGCGAATTCGGGCAGGAGGGCGCTGACACTCACCCAGTCCGCGCGGTCCCCAGCGCTGAGACTGCAGAGGGCGAAGCGGCCACATCACCGGGCAAACGCGTGCTAAGGAGCGAAGCCGCCATGGGCACACGCTCAGCCGCTACGCCTCGCGTCGGAAGTCGCCCAGGCACCGCCTCTGTCCCGGAAGTGGCGCGAGTGAGCGACGGCCTCCAGCCAATGAGGGAGCCCCGGGGAGGAGCGCGTCGCATTCTGCGCCGCACCGCCAGGCTTTCTCCGCCGGGCCTCTCCGCTTCGCTCCTACTCAGCACGACTTTCTCCGCTCGGGGGGCGTGGCCCGGGGCGTGCCTGGGGGCGGGGCTTGAGGCGGGGCCTGGGGCGGAGCGTGCCGCGAGCGGCCTCCGCTGCTAGGACGCAGTTGGCTTCTTACGGTGCCAACTACACGTGACCTGATCAGTTGGTTCACACCGATGGCAACCTTGTGGCCGCGAGTAAAACTGGCCCCATTGTGTTTTCTTGGCTGTAGTGTTTTTGGAAGCAGGTCGCCGGGACTTTCCCCGTGGCGCTCTGCTAGGTGAGTTTTAACCTTGCACTTTGGGTCCAGAGCAAACTTTTGGTGCCACCCACAGGCCTCCTCTTCTAGCTCTGGGGATCCCGGAGAAAGAGGGAGGAGCTCTGCAGGGCCGGAGTTCCATAGAGTATTATTAACCCTTTGGACTCAAAACATCCTTCAGAAAAGTGCCTTCTTACAAGCAGGATAATTGAGGTTACACGATGAACGGAGGCCCTTCAGAGAAAATAGATGGGCCAAGAATGTGAATCTGGCTGCCGGAACCATACCTTCCATACTATCAAAGGCCTCCCCTTCCCCCCAAGATAATTTTATTTTCAAGAAAACAGAGCCTTGAGGAAATGTCTTACTCAGACTCCTCAGTGAAATTGCTAGAAGGGGTGAAAGATTTAACCTGCAGTTAATCAAAATACTAGAGATATAACAATTTTAAGATTTAGTTTGTTAAAAACCCAAAATGTAACAGCCCACCTCTTGTGAGAACAGGCTTGATAAGCACCTTAACCTTGAAGCCAGGTCCTGGTGAACATCATGACACAACTGTATCTGCATGGCCTTACATCTGTCAACTACAAAGCACGTGATAATAGACCATTCTCTGCTAGATGGTTGCTTGTTTAACTTCAAGCCTTTAAGACTCCAGATGCTGTATCTTTTGACAGCCGGGCACCACCTGCTTTCTTCACCACATTTGCTTATGTAACCATTTTGTCTTCAGGGATCTTGCCAGGAGGGTGAGCATTGTAGAATGCCAGGTTATTAGAACAAAGTGTTCTTGCATTGAGGGAGGGCTTGAGCAGATGCCCCAAATCCATCCACTACCTCAGTGTATTGCCATGTAAATATATGTACATAGGCCAATACCTCTATTTTTATGAATGAATGTATTTATATATGTACACACCTATGATTATACCTTTATCCATAGCTTTGCTTCCTAGATCTTTCCTCTGTTTCTTTTTACCTTCCTCCTGCCCCACCATCACGCTCGCCCTTCTTCCACTTCTGTCTTTGTATTTTATATGTGCTCCCTCACTTTCACTCTCAGACCCACTTTCTCCCTTCCCCACTCTTCTTCATTTTCTCCTCATTCGCGCTCCTCTTTCCTCTCTCTCAGAAACCCCTCTCCAGGAATTATATTGTTTATGAGGCTGGGAAGGGGTGAGTCCCGCTCAAGTCTAAAGACTAGGACATTAAATTAGATTGTTTCTGAGACCACCTGCCATGGCCAGAAAATAGTTAAGGAGCATCCAGGCATTGAATCAGCTGGTTATTGTCGGCCTGTGACCCTCACCCCTCTGGGACACGTGAATTCTGACACACTTAACAAGGGTGAAGCCTTCTCTGTAACAGCCTAAGAGGCTTTTATAACCATTGAAGAAACCTGGTGGCATGGTGGTTACATGTTGGGCAGCTAATCATAAAATTGGCAGTTCAAAATCACCAGCTGCTCCAACAGAGAAACATGGACTTTCTACTCCTGTAAAGAGTTGCAGTCTCAGAAACTCACAAGGGCAGTTCTACCCTGTTCTAGAAAGTCACTATGAATTGGTATCAACTCAATGCAAAATAAGTTGTTGTTTGTTTGTAGCCATCACTCAGGAAGGCTCTGTTAGATGCCTTTGCCACGTTTAGTTCATCTGGGACATTGCCCGGGATTGGACTCACTAGCCCAAGAGGAATTATTTTATATTGTTGTGCTTGTAAAGAAAGCTCACACTGAGAGGCTACCTACTCTACAAATGGTGACTCTTACTAAGATCTTGAGAGAATTGTGTCCCCCCCATTACTTTTATTGGGGCTCTTACATCTCTTATCACAATCCATACATTCATCCAGTGTGTCAAGCACATTTGCACATATGCCGCCATCATCATTTTTAAAGCATTTTCTTTCTACTTGAGTCCTTGGTATCAGCTCATTTTTTCCCCTCCCTCCTCTAACCATCCTCCTTCACGAACCCTTGATAACTTATAAATTGTTATTATTTTTTCATGTCTCACACCAACTGCTGTATCCCTTCACTCACTTCTGTTATCCGTCCCCCTGGGAGGGGGTTATATGTCAATCATTGTGATCAGTTTCCCCTTTCTCCCCCACCTTCCCTTACCTTCCTGATATTGGTACTCTCAATATTGGTCCTGAGGGGTTTATCTGACCCGGATTCCCTGCGTTTCCAGTTCTTATCTGTACCAGTGTATATCCTCTGGTCTATCCAGATTTGTAAGGTAGAATTGGGGTCATGATAGTGGGCGGGAAGAAGCATTAAAGAACTAGAGCAGTGGTTCTCAACCTGTGGGTCTCAACAGTAGCAAAATTACAGTTATGAAGTAGCAACAAAAATGATTTTATGGTTGGGGGTCACCACAACATGAGGAACTATATTAAAGGGTCGCAGCATTGGGAACGTTGAGAACCACTGAACTAGAGAAAAGTTGTATGTTTCATCGGTGCTGTACTGCACCCTGACTGGCTTGTCTCTTCCTTGTGACCCTTCTGATAAGGGGATATTCAATTGTCTACAGATGGGCTTTG